TATTAAAATTCAAAATAATGGCCACATTCAACTTTTTAAGCATAGCCTAATATATTTTAATATATATCAACGGTACGCCTAAATACCCCCATTGCAGCACATTCGCATATTCAGAGAATGTATAAAGTCTTATTGGAAAATCCTGTCTTAAAACAAAACTTGTCCATAAATAAGTGTTCAAAAGATTCATTCATAAGAATACCATATAGGAAGTGAATAAGCAGGTTTCCTGCCAGTAAAATGTTAAAATGAGGCATTTTAAGGTAGTATACAGAACAGAATTAGGTGAAACCCGTCGACATTGACGGTTACTTTCAAGGCTTATGCTAATTCATATAACTGCGATAAATAGATTGAAGAAATAAAAATTTTGAGCATTTAGCTCTTTAGCTTTTTTGATGAGTAATAAGTGTAAAAATTAATATTATCTTTTGAAAACAAATATTCTACTGGCTATGATGATGTTTCAATTATTACTGTTAAAAAAGTTCTTCCTGCTATTTTAAAACCTCTTTTACATATAGTAAATTCTTCTCTCATTTCAGGCATTTTTCCTAATAAACTCAAAATAGCAAAAATTATTCCAGTTTTCAAAAAAGGGGAACCAAACGATGTTTCCTGTTACCGACCAATTTCACTTCTTCCAGTTTTTTCAAAAATCTTAGAAAAAGTTGTTTTTATACAATTGATGGATTTTTTAAATGAACATAACTTAATGGATTCAGAACAACATGGATTTCAAGCAGGCAAATCGACAGTCACTGCAGTTATTGAATTTATTGAAAGTATAATAAATGCAGTGGATAAGAGAGAAAAAGTAATTGGCATTTTTCTTGATTTAACAAGGGCATTTGATAGTGTATCGCATGAAAATCTTATCGACACTTTATCAAAATTAGGTATTCATGACAAAGAATTAAATTGGTTTAAATCCTACCTATTTCTTAGGCAACAATATGTTGAGATAGAACATTATAAATCAGATTTCTCAAGTAAATATAATTACATCCAAAAGTTTAATTCACAGATGCAGATGGTCCGCCATGGAGTTCCGCAGGGGTCGGTGTTGGGGCCCCTCTTGTTCCTAATATACTTGAGGGGTCTGCCGGACTTGATGCCTGTGGGCGGGGCGGCCTGTTTGTATGCTGATGATACTAATATTACCATTTGTGGAAATTCAGAAGAAAGTATTGAGGCATCATCATTGGCCAGTCTCTCCATCATAAAAAAATTCTTAGATAGCAAAAACCTTCTTTTAAACCCTGAAAAATCTAATTTTGTATCATTTTCTACAAAACAAAACAAAAACAAATTAAATCCAGACATAATCTTAGAAGATTATAAATTACAACAGGTAGAACATACAAAATTTCTTGGTTTAATAATTGATAAAAATCTTGCCTGGGACAAACATGTTGATCATGTTATCAAAAAAATGTCTTCAGGAGTATCTGCTTTAAGACAAATGTATAAAGTTTGCAGCTTAAAAACATTAATATCAATATATTATGCCTTAGTTCATTCTAATTTAGCTTATGGAATCAGTATATATGGAGCAACTACATCAAAAAACTTAAAACGGATTTTATCGTACCAGAAAAGGGCAATTAGGGCAATGTTTAATTTGAAAAGGAAAGATTCGGTAAAACATATTTTTACCGATCTTGGAATACTAACTGTTCATGGACTATATATCTTGGAAACTATTATTTATGCAAAAAATATTACAAAAACTCAGGTATCAAACAAAATTAGTCATAATTATAACACTCGTTCTCAATCTCACATTGATAGACACAATCTAGAATTTTATAAAAAGAAAACAAAATTCGCAGGAAATAAATTTATGTCCCATCTTCCAAAAATACTTCTAAATGAAAATGATACAAAAAAGTTTAAAAATTGTCTGAAACAGTATTTGATTAAAATTTCCCCTTATTCTCTTGAAGAGTTTTGGGAGAACAAATAAAATAAATATTCTGTCTTATTTTTAGTTCTTAAATGTAAAACATTTTATTTTGTAATATCTGACTCTATTCCTGTACAATTGTACTTACATGAATAAAGGATATTTTGATTTGATTTGATTTGATTTGAATAATGACTATTGCGTTAGATACAAAATAAGGTTGACCATTCAATTAATAAAATAGTTCCCATACCGTACGTCATAAGAGTTATTATTGCAATTTTAACTGGTTTCTCTTCTTTTGGAAGAACCTTTAAATAGTATTAAAATCTTATTGGTCAATCTTTTGTGATAAACACTTCCGATCCGCGCTCATGCATGCGCTGTTAGATGTTACTGTATGTGAAAGTTGGTCAACAATTTAAATCACTGTCTGGAAATGAATCAAATGCTTAAGGGTCACACTTTTGAAGCCCTTTATCAACATATAGTTTTAAATACCATTTTGCGTTAAGTTGGATCTTAAGATTTAAAATTACACCTCAATCATAAATATCAGTGAAGTAGTTCTGGTTACAGTAGGCTGTTACAGCTTATTTCATTAGGAAGATAGATAATGTTAAACAAGACAATGACATATCACATGCTTAATACTAGATATTAGAGGGTAATGACTAACCGAAGAGCCGTTGATTTACATAAAGCAATTAATAAAATCAATTATAACAATGAATATTGGCCGATACATGGCAGAGCTGACCACGGGGGATAGATTTCCGGGGGTAGATGTCCGGGGGTAGATGTCCGGGGGTAGATGTCCGGGGGTAGATTTCCAGTCGCGGGCTGTTTCTCGACCGTGTATAAGCCCCGCCCCTCGTGACGTCAAAATGACGTAGGCGTTTTTTCATGGGGGTAAATATCCGGGGGTAGAAATCCGGCGACCCAATAAAATGTGATTTCAAGCAAATTAAGGTCTTGGTAACCATTAGGTAAGTTGTTCGGGAGACGGACAGCGGACCAGATCTTTGTTTGGGTTAATCCCCTGATTTATGGCCTGAGGGTAGTGGTCACCGGAGGAGTGGTGGGGAAATTCTGAATCCTACCGCAGGCGTTAACTTTTTGTCAAAGATTTCGCTTAGAATGCGATTACTTCTTAACTGTACAGCTTTTGTTAGAATTTATAATTTTATCATCAGTACTATTTTTCGATTAGTAAACCTTTATTCGATTTTTTCATTATCAACAAGTTTGGTTGGTTTGGTTTGGTTATGATAGTTTAATTTTATAATTAGAAAATTAAAAAAAAAAATAATTTAGGCATTTGTAATTTTATTTTATGAACAGAACTATATTTTTTATTAGTAAACCTTCATTTTATTTTTCATTATCAGCTAGTTTGGTTATGTTATGACAGTTAAATTAAATTTAAATTTAACCTATAAACAATACGTTTTGACAGCGACGGTGGTAGAGCTAACAGTTTGCCTAGAACAGTTCGGCTATGCACGGTATGATGCGGAAGCGTTCAACACCAACCTAGAACTGACAGGTCAACCAACCGTGATTAAGAGGATTACAGCCTCGGCCATGTGCCTACACCCAAGTTGTTCAAGGTCGTAAATGATTAGAAAATGTGAAATAGAGACCAATCCCATATTATCCCCCAAACCTACACAATCCCCCCCCTTTAGAAACCAAAATTACAGGAAATGAATATAGACCTAATATGTTTTGTATTTGTTTACATTCAGTTGGATATTTATAGGCATGCACTGTGGATGCGATACTCCCTGGTGTGGATTAACGTCCGCACGGGTGAGTACTACGACTATCCGCAGTACCATCCTGATAATTAGACCAATTTGTATATACCAAGGAAAAAAAGTGGTTCGGATTCCACTATAAAACTGTAGGTCCCTTAGTCGCCATTAGCTGTATGGGCTAGTCACTAACAAGACTACAAGATCACGCCACTCATCATACACTCATCTCCATTCATACTTGGCTTAAAATACCTACTTTGTACGGTCGCCATTTCAAAGAAAAGTATAAAGTATAAAGTTGCGTATTCATTGTTCTCATATTCCATACAGTTCAGAAACTTTACACACATTTATATTCACTGTACTTTATATCAAAGAATATCGATTGAGAAACACACAATTACATGTAACACAAAATTAGCACTCGTCACTAGTCCGCTGTGTTGTGATAACTCAAAATCATCGGAATAAAAACCGCCAATATAAGATACAGTAGTTGGTATGTCTGCAGCGGCCTCCACAGCTGGGTGTGCTGCCGCTCTACCCATCCCTACCTTTAAGACAACGAAGTGAGCTGACTGTAGAGTAAATTGTCGAAGAAGAGGATTCTCGTATTTAATTTTACTCGGTCAACGGGACTGAGGATGAAATAGCTTGTCGATGAGGTTTTTCGCATTTATATATTTAATTTAAAAAAACACGGTCTAGTGGCCTGACAAAGTAAATTGTCATTCTACTGGCTTAATGAATTATTGTAGTTCACACATCCGCTAGACACTTAACCAACTCTTCTAAAGAATTTTATGGTTTACTCGTAGGTTTTTTTAATGTTTTCATATAATTTCAAAAAGATTTTCATTATAGTTTTATAACATATGCTAAATAATCTTTATCAAGACGCTTCAAACATTGTTCAAAATATCATCAAGCATTTCAGGACACAAGAAATAACAGTAATATGTCAGATTTATAATTCAAACAAAGATACTTTTTAATTTCAACCAATTCATATCAAAAAAAATTTCCCCTCCTGTTATTTGTACGATATTTCCCAAGCGGGAGCACGCACGACACTGCGTCATTGCTAATTAAGGTTAGTTAGAGAAATGTTTAAAACTGAGTAACCCAACCTAGACTCCTTTTCGGACTTTGAATGGTTCGTATGTTCACTTGCTCATGACACATACTCGCACATTGTTAACTTAATGTATCCTATTTTTAAATTTGATCATTTGAGATGGTTCAGTACAGATCAGAGTTGTCAAGACCTATTTTACTGTAGTTACATTTGTTTTAAAATAATTCTAAATACATTTTCTTTGTTTTAGGAAATGTTTCCAATGATTTTGTGTCAAGAACAACAAACCAAAAACAGTTGTCAAGGCCTAATTATAAGAGCTATCCCGATCATAATCGTAATCATGAAAGTCACAAATCTAAAAAACGGAAACGAAAAAGGTTTGGAAAGAATAGGCCTACACCAGACAACTCTCAATATCAATATCATTGTGAGAGTCGCTCAACTGTTACTTCAGCTACTCAATTATCATCCATACCTAGTTCAACTGTCGTAACTCATGAAAATACTTCACTAATGCAAAAACTGATCACTTCAGGCTTAGCCAAGCCACCAAATGCAACTGAGTCTAGTTCAGAAATGGATAATGTTATTAAGAAGGAAATTACAATCAGCGATAATGTTGAGAGTAAAGATTACAGTGATGATAGTGAAATTGAAGTAATCATACCTCCCAAAAAAATTCCACCTTTAGTTACTTTAGATTCAGATGGTGAAGAAATGGAACAGTTATCACAAAGTAACCCTGAAAAAGACAAGAGTTGTACAAGCACTCTTGATGATAACCAGAATCCTCCATTGAACGTGACTCCTGCTACAAATGAAGAGACTGATGTAAGTAATAACTTGGCACTCAACAAAAACGGAGTTAATGAAAACCTTGACTGTATTGAAGTAACAGCTAATGGCTCGCCCATCAGCCAAGTATTTGAGTCCAATGATTCTCCAGACTCGTTATCCTCAGAGTTGTGCATGTCACTGTCATATTCCCCCTCCAGCCCATCATCAGTGAGTGGTTGTGAGAATAACATAACCAGCAATCTGAACCGCCAATCTTCAGTGGGCAACAACAAAAGACCTGCTCATTTTTCAAAATTTGAAAGTGACACCCGTATAGATTGTTCTTCCGCTAGTAGTGAAGAAATTAGTTCAGAAATTTGGTTGGACCAAACTGAAAATCAAAATTCTGGAAATTTAGAAAACAATCACTCTCCTGAAAGTCAAATTGTTAATCAAAAGGAGACTGACAATAAAGCAAGGGAAAGGAGAAATAGTTTGAGCAATGAAAATTCTCTTTCAGTTTTGGTGGAAGATTTCATAATGATGTCAACAACTACGGCAAAGGAACAGCAGCAGGACATTGTCCTTATTGGTGAATCAAATGCAACCGGACTTGAAACTAATGGAAGTGTTTCAAATGATGATCAGGAACCATACAGCCCATCTTCAGAATACAGTTATAAACCCGTCAATGACAAAAATAGTAAAACATTCTCTACTGGTAAAGAATCTACTTCGTATCTAATTCCAAAATTAACTTTAGGTACATTTATCCCTAAAGATAACTGCATTGAAACAATTACTCCTGGTGCTCCCTCAAAACTAATTGTCAAACCAGTTGAGCCCAGAAAAGATCAAGTAAATCTAGATGAGAATAATCGCAAACAACATAATATTGATGATAATGAAAATGATGAAGATAATGTTTCCCAGCTTAGGATGATTGCATTACAAACCAAAAAGAAAACAACGCAAGAGGAAACTCAATCAGATTCTAATGATAAAAGTACATCTCAAACAGCTTTAGACCAAATTGACGAAGAGATTGCTGAGCCAGAATCCTCAGAAGCTCCTTGTGGCTTAAATGAAGATGACGATGTTTTACAATTACGTGTTGCTGCACTGAAATCAGCTGTCATGAAAAAGTACGGTGAGCGCAAGAAGAAAGGACTGGTTGTTAAAAAACGGAAGAGGGCTCCTTCTGGATTTGGGGATGACATATTTTCTGTTCATGAAAGCAACACAGCTCTGGACCAAGAAAACACAACACCTCTTTCACCAAATATATCGTCAACTTCTGTTCAAGGTGAAGAGGATATGGAGTTGGCTGAATCAGATCTTGGAGAAGATGTTATTGAAGAGCTTCCTGAAACTTCAGTTGTTGAAAAACCAAAACTGTTTGCACCTGTTCATTTAGGCTTAAAACCCCTGTATGATAGTTCAGTGACACATTCAGTGAATTCATGCTCAGTTGTACCACCTCAACCCTTGCCTCCAGGTGTTGATGGTGACTGTCCGGAGATGATTGACCCAACAATATTGAGGTCAGTTTTACCTCCTCCCCCACCCCCTCCTCTTCTACGATCACCTCCTCCTTTAACAATTACATCAATGCTTCATCCTCCACCCCCACCCCCTTTCCCCTCTCATAGTAAATCTGAAGTTTTAGGAGAAATATCAAATCAACTGAATGTTGAAGAAGAGTTTGCTGCTTCCAGTTCTCTTTTTGGTAATCGTTCTTTTGACAATGAATCAGATATGAATCAACCAAACTTCAGTAATCGAATGAAAGTTGACAGTTCGAAGAAGTCTGATTCTATAAAAACTAGTTTGAGAAATAATTTAATCACAGTTGATGTTGTAAAAAATGTACCAAAGAAAGTCCCCCCGCCAAAAAAAAAGAGGAGGAGGAAGGTTAGGAAAGAATATATAAAATTAAAGGCTGAGCTTGATAGAGAGTTAGATTTACTTTGTATTACCAAACCTCCAGGGAAATCTACGACCAAATCAGCTGGTAGTGCAAATTTAACCAAAAATAAACAGGGTAGGCCTAGTGTTAGTTCTGGATATGGAAAGCATTGTGAAACCAGTCCAGAAAAGATTACGCCTAAAGATTACGAGAGCTCATCGCCCATTGTTTTGTGCAAAACAGATTTGCCTGCAGATAATTGGACAGATGGTGATAACTCAGGAAACGTTTTACAAAAACAACAACACACAGGGATTGACGCTGAAGAAAATTTTAACTTCTCTGATGAGTCCCCCATGGCTGACAATGATATAGATCTTTCTGACATGATTGTTCTAGACGAAGTTGGAATGTCTCCTGAACATAAATCTAAATATGATAGCACACATGACTACAGTTTTCCTTATGAAGATGAGGACGAGGACACTTTAAGGATCCGTGCATTAACATCATTATCTCCTAAACCTCTCTTTAAAACACCAACCACTACTCCCCCTCAGAATTCATACCCTCAGACTGAACCTTATGGTAGTTACCAAGGCAATAAGGAATACACTCAAAGGAAAATATTAGCTCCAGGAAAACCGAAAGAAGTTATCAAGCGAAGAAAAGTCGTTGGTGAAACCTCAAAATATCGACTCACTCGAATGAGTAATGATCGAAGGAGTGTGCTTCATGGGAAAGAGACATTAAAAGTTGTCGTCCCAACGAATTCTCAGTCCCATGCACCTGTGGAACAGTCTTTGCCAGTTGTACAGAGATTAGTGATCAATGTAAATAAAGATTCCGACAGTGAAGAAGAATGCGAATGGACCAGAAAAATACGAATACAGGAAACCAATACACTGCCACCTCTAGGACCGGTGGTAGACTATGAGCTTGAACGCAGTATAGACGAATTGTTGATGAGAGCTCGCAACAGCTCTGAAAACGTATCTTCTAGAAAAAGTCAAGATGTAAGAGCTCAAAGTTTCACACAGAAAAGAGATCGTAGAAGTAGTACTGATGATGACTCGCTACATGGCACCCCAATGGTAAGTTACTAGTTTGTGGGTTTTAAACGTAAATCTCAAGGTTGCAAACAAAAGATGATTTATTTGTGTGCAGCAGTAGGGAAAATGGGTTTAAAATGTGCTGCTACAATTCTTAAAAAGTTGAACTGGTATTTTTTAATCTCATATGTTTTTTTTATTTTCAATGTGTGTTCACTAAAATGCATTATAGGCCTAAACGTTTTTACAACTGCGTTGTGAGGATATAAAGAGAGTAGCATCTTGCAAAATTAGTTGATCAGCCTACATAACAGTTTTTTGTTTGTTGACACGTCCAGTCTGTAGATTTAGATAGTTTTAAATAAATTGAATGATCATGATTGAAATTTTTACTGTTTATTAAGCTCTACATCTGACCTAGAATTGGGTGTTAGCCTAATCATGAATAATATAATTTTTTGAATACCCTCCAATGGTGTTTTCATGTGTGATGAGTGTAACTTCTTAAATATATGTATTGGGATATTACAGAAAATGTATTGTTTCTATTATATCTTAACTTTGAAAACAAAACGCATTTCCATTGAAATTCCTGTTTTGTGCCTTGATAGTAGTAATTACATTTATTTTGCCTGTTTGAATAATTATTATTTATCTATTTTGTAGAAGCTGTTGCCCATTGAAAAACAGGAAGAATACAAACGTTTGAAAGCTATTTTAGAACAGAAGGAGAGGGAAAGAAGGTTGAAGAGAATTCCTAGGAAGGCAACAGAGACATCTAAATCACTTTTAAAACAGGTTCTTACGACAGAAAACAACAAACAGATTAAAGAGAATTCAAACCAAAACATCCATAGTAGGCCTAATAGTAGCCATGGGGACCTGAATTTGGATGAAAGGATATTAGAAAATTACGGCTCAAGTAACCCTAGAAATGTGAATGTTAAAGAAGACTCCATAAGCTCAGGTTTTAGTGATGCAGATGAAATAATCAGTTCTTTCCACCATGAAGAAAATATTGCAAGGAGACTAAATTCAGACAGTCATAATGTTCAGAATGAACAATTGAAGTCCTCGGATCAAAAAATTTGTGTGCCGACAGTTAACCTTATTACTGATAGAAAAATTGAGACGGATTCAAAAAATCTAGATCAGTCCCAAAGAGCCACCAACTCAGACTCAGATGAAAGCAGATCAAAACGGTTAAGTGTAGACACAACAACAGCAGCTATGAAAGAGAAGTCAGAAAACCTAAGCGGGCAAAGAAAAATAGTTTCTTCAGTCCAGAAAAATAATGCCACAAATAGAGAAAATATATCTAGTTACGAGTTGGAAATGAACAAAGAAAATTCACCAAAAATATCTTGTGAATCTCAATCTAGTTCTACAGTAGGTAACTTTTCCACAACCGGGGATTTCTATTTCAGCCAAACTACGGCAAGCGCTTCTGGACTTTTTGGGCTGAATTCCGGAGACATAGAACCCTGTAGTAGAGTCAATAATTGTGACAATGAAAATAATGTATCGACTAAAGAAACGCTCAGTGACAAAGTGGGTGATGTTCGAGATTTTTCTCCTGATTCTGGTAAATCCTCTGTAGAACATTTTAATAGACATCAGTTTTTGAATCCAGAAACTAGATGTGAAATACAGGTGGAGGAACAGAACGCGGAATCCAATTCAACAGAAAATATTAAAGAAACTCCTGCCCCAGAAGATTTAAAAGACTCAAGTCAATCAGACCCAAAACCATGTTCTCAGGAAGAGTTGGGAGCCAAAAAATCAGAACTGCTTAGTGAAAGGTATGTAGTAAGTTATACGTTTTAAGATAATGTTTGCATATTCTAGATAAGTTTGTAGGTGTTTGGATTTTCTTGCCAATGCACGGGAGTTGAGTTTTTTTCAGCTTCAGTATGGTTTATGTGAGAGTGTGTGCAAATATTCCGCTTGGTTTTAACTTAACCAAAGAGATTGAATCATTGCCAGTATTCTCAAGTAAGAAATAACTAACTTAAAAAGTCAGTGATCAACTTTAGTTTGCTTGACTAGCCAATTTGAATGGTCACATCAATACAGTAAAATAACTATTATTAAATAACAGCATTAAAACAGTGTTTTATACACAGTAATAATTGTCAATAAACTACTAATAATAAACAATTAAAATTAAATACTAATGTAAAGAACCCTCATTGTTTCTTTCATAGATTTATACAAATTAATTTCTTCTCTTATATATACATTTTCAATTGCTACATTTTCAACCTACAGTAGAACCCGGGTTAACCAAAACTGTTCCAAAAATTAATACAGGGCTAAAATATAAGTAATACGTTGACAGCGAGGCCCTTTCCTCTCTCGAAAGGGGCTTTTCTATAACCCATTGTAACATTTTTGCAGCTGAAATAAAACACTCTATTATATAGACATTGTTTTAAATTTATTTTTCCTACAAACTTTGGTAATACATAGGCTATTTTTAGCATTTGATGGGTTAACCAAAAAATTGGTTATCCGAAACTGCTCTCCCCTGTTTATTTTGGTTAACCAGGATTCTACTGTAGTTAAAAATGTAGCAATTGAAAATATATATTTAAAAGTAAAAATTAATTAATTAAAGGAAGGGATGGATTAAGCACCCTTATTCATGGTACATCCACCCCTGGAACAAATAAGCCCAAAATAATTGTAATTATCATTATATTAAAACCTGTGTAGGAAATACAAGGCACATTGATATTAAATAAAAGTTGTCTGAGTTAAAGTTAAAGAAATCTTGAAAAATTATGATAACCTTGTATAATTTGATATTTTCTCCAGGCAACAGACAGAATAAACTTGTCCTTGCTCTACCAATGCTCTATGAATTGAGCCCCTACTTTATTAATCACTCTTACCTCAACCTTGGCTTCTTATTTTTTTAAATCATAGTTTTTCAATAAATTTTTACTAATGGGCTTTTGAAGAGGTTAAAATAAAATGATTTTATGTCAAAGATTTGGATTGCTGGACGACCTGTCGGAGATGACCGAGTCACTGGATGATCTGGACAGTCAACAGCGCAGGTTGGAGCAAGCGGTTGTAGACATTAGCGAGCTGCGCAGAGCACTGCATGCCGCAGAAGACTCTCTGCATAAACAGCTGTTGGTGGCTAAAGATAGCGAGCAGAGACTCCGTGATACACATTCTGCTGTCAATGTGAGGTGTTCGAACATCATACAGCTGGAGACTACGCTTCACCGTGCTTCTTTTGAGTGAGTGACAACTGTTGTGAGTTACGAGGGCCGTTTGGAAAGTAACCTCTGGCCAGTTGTGTAAAAACATTAATGTAAATAAAACACTGTGTTTAATACATCTTAAAGTTCCTTCTTTATTAAAAAGGTTTAAATACATGCTTTTGCAATTTGAATAGATTGCCTAATAGCATGTATTTAAACCTTTTTCAATATTAAATGGGAATCCGGAGGCTAACATCTACAATGAAATTACATCTTGACTTTATTCTTCTACATAATTATCATACACATTTCAGTACTTATGGAAGCCTTTTACAAGCTTAAAAGTTCTGTTCAGAAAATCTCCTGCCTGTGCCTTTGAGCCATTGCTCACACTTTTAAGTCAAATCAAATTAGATACTTTATTGTCATTAATAACAAACGTGGAAAAGACATAGTCATCATACAAAATATTTAATAGGGTTGTATTTAAGGCCCGTTCACACTTGGCGACTAACTCGCCGCGACTTAGTTGCTGCTACTATTAGTCGCATCTACTACTCACCAGCAAAATATACTCTTGAGTCATGGCGAGTTGTAGTGGCTGCTTCAGATTGGTTGTGTTTACTGTGCTGAGAAAATTGTCATCTGTGGGATTAAGAATGGAGGATTAGAGTCGTCTGTGTTAAATAAAATTATAAAAATAAAGAACCGTCTAATTCATAGCATACAATGATCTAGGGCCTGGAAAATTTACATTTAAAATGCATTGGCCTTGAATAAAGATATTCTTTGTCTTCTATTTATTCATTGAGCTATTATGTATTTTCTTTTGTTATTATCTCTTCTGTATTTTTATCAAACTCAGGTTAAGAGGTAGAAAGGTCGTGTGGCTCTAACTTTGTGTGAATAAACTATTTTTATGTCGTTCCATTTTATTTAAATACAATAAAGTCATATTATCGGGCCGATCGTAATGAAAAGATGTGATGGACGAATCGGAACTCAGGAGTGTGAAAGACCTTGATTGGTCCCAAGGTCCTTTCGCAGAATTATTATTCTAGAGTCCTGGCTTCTGCTCTCTTGGCAGCTCACCAGTTAAGTTAGATGTAATTAATAATATAAATTATTTAAGTGCATTTCTTGAAAATACTCAATAAAGGCAGCCTAAACTTGGCTATAAATCAAAACTATGAAGAAGCCGTTTGTAATGTTTTCTTGTATTTTTACTTTTCCACAAATCTTTATAAAAATTATACTTTCCTTAATCATGTGCAAATCTACACAGATTAAACTTTCCAACAACCCATTCATTAATAATCTCGGTCCAGTAGGACTGTAGATTTAGTTGTACAAAGATTTTCAAAACTGAATTATTATAAGAGTAGAACACTGATTTGAACAACAGTTACAGTGGAGTCCCGATAATCCGAACTTCGGTAATCCGAAAGTCCGCTTAATCCGAAAAAAAAAAATAAATAAATAAAAAAAATTTTGGCAATTTTAAAAAAAAATTTTGAAAATTTTTTGAAATTTTTTTGGAAATTTTTTGAAGTTTTTTTAAAATTTTTGGAATTTTTTTGAATTTTTTTTATTAAACTTTTGACACAGTTAGCTGTACCTCGTCAAAGTATTCTGTAGCGGATGGGCGAGATAGACTTTTTTTGTAGAGTATTTTAGTAAATATTTCACCATTTTTGTTATTACTGTAAGATTTTACATTTTTGTCCGCCAAATCACAAATGGATTTTATTACGTGATAATGCTGCAGCCAATAGGTCTAGCTTTAAGTAATGTGAAAAACAATCCCGGGCTCGTGCCTGCGTCCGAAAAAGTAGTAAGAAGACAAAAAAAATTTCAAAAAATAAAAAAATTTCAAAAAAATAAAAAAATAAAAAAAAAAAAACAAAAAACGTTTAATCCGAAATATTCGGTAATCCGAAATGGGCCCGGTCCCAACCATTTCGGACTAACGGGACTCTACTGTATTTCCAAAATGGCATCTATGATGTTTATTTTATGGCTAAAACATTTACTCGGTGGCAAGTGCTAGTTGCCACTACTTTCTGTTCTCACTTAACGATTAGTAGCCGCTGCTCTAGTCGCAGCGAGTAAAATTGCCAAGTGTGAACAAACCTTAACCCAGTCAAGATTAGATCAATAAGCCTAAAAACACAAATCACATAACCACACACATAGGGGGGTGGGCCTTATATCACAAACATCAAAAGGAAAACATTTAAAAGTATAAAAAGTGAATTCAAACAAGTACATTTAAGTTCTTTGTAATCAGAGAACGACTGGTGTTTCATATGACCCCATGATATACTTTCAGCCACGTCATATATTATACTAGAAGAAATGGGAGCTACTGGTTAGCATATGGGGTTTTGTATGACCCTTTAGATGAACCCTTTCACAAATTTCTTCCTCAGTTATCACATTTGGTACTTTCAAAATTTCTGATGAATAGCTGCAGCCAAAAACTGGTAATTTTGATGTTAAAAATCTTATAACAGCTTACACTTTACTCTTGGTGGAGGATTTGGACAGGAACTGATCTGCTGCTTAAGTTTGTAGCCGATTGGCCATGCCACTATTCTCTCCATAGGGTTATCTGTCAAACGGAGGTTACTTTCAGAACGGTCCTTGTACATGATGTGAATATATATAACAGTAACTGTTGTCATATTGGAGGGATGGAAATAATATGTTGTTAAATCCAAATTTTAAAAGTGGTGTTTTATTATTTATACAGTGCTCATCTAGTATGTTGGTAGGCCTTTTAGAAGTAACCTATATCGTGATTAGCTTAAGAGAGGATTAATTAGTTTTGCTACATCTATACAGTTAATTTTTTTCATTACCTATCCCTCTCTTTTGTAGTAGGCACGAAACTCCATAGAAAACTGGCTTATTCCTCAGAGCTCATTATGAGCATGAAGAAGATTTAAGCTTTTGATAAAGTTATACTTCTTAAAAAAAATATTTTATAACTAATAGCCTATAAATAATTTTGTGTTATTTAATAATGAATAGTATATTTCGTATCTAGTGCCGAAAATGAGGCTGTGCCGGCTCGAGATCATTTTTAAGTTTGAGACGAAGTCGAGAACTTAAAACGATCTAGAGCTCCAAAACCATTTGGCCCATGGTACGAATGCTATCTTTCACCACACTACACCCTCTTACCACTATTCACCACAATAATGATGCACATTAATAGTCAACACTACTACAAATTAAAGGTTATGTGAAATATTTTGAGAAATCAGCAAAAACAATAATAAATACTAAATAGTTGCCTAGGTAGCGGCATAGACTAACAAACACGAGTAGTTCCATGTCTACTTCTGTACACCATGTAAATTTTGAAGCTCGTTTTCGACGTGTCTAGTTCATGTCTGGTGACACTGGTGGTAAAGTTATTGTTTGTGATTACGTCGTTTTATTTGGTTAAACGGGGTTTTAAATTACTGAAATAACAAGAAACAAATTGTAAACAAAACACGACCTCTACAGTGCATCGGACGGAACTAACGATAAAATTGGCTTCAGCTGTTCCATGACAATGGAAAATCTACTAAGAACGTATGTTTTATCTATGGTAGCGGTTACAATAAAACAAGTCTATTGCAATGCATATTGATACTGCTTGTGTATTTAATAGATACATTAATGACTTGACTTACTTGACTTAGTTCCTGTATTCCCGTGGGGGACATAGAGCCGCAAAAAAGCTCTCCACCATACACGGTTCTGGGCCAGCTGCTTTACTTCTCTCCAGTTCTTGCCTTCCTCCTCTATCTCTATCTCGATGGACCTCCTCCAAGTTATCTTTGGTCTTCCCCGTTTTCTACTTCCTTGGGGGTTCCACTCTAATGCTTGTTTGCTGATGTTATCATTTGGTCATCTTAGAGTGTACGACCCATCCAGCAAACTTCCTTTTCTTGATAACTTCACCAATGGGGCTTTCATGCGTTCTTCTCATAAGCTCTTCGTTTTTTTTACTCTTTGTGGCCAATGGATGTTGACAATTTTGCGGAGACATTTGTTTATTAAAATCTACAACTTGCTGGTGACTTTCCATGTCTGGCGAACATACAAGAGAACGGATTTAACATTTGATTCAAATATTCTTAGCTTGGTATTTCTTTGTATCTGGTTTGATCGCCAAACTGGTGTTAGTTGTGCAAATACCCCTTTGGCCTTCCTAATCCTACACCCCCCATCTTTGACACAGTGCTTCCAAGGTATTGAATTTGGTCCACCTGCTCAATTGCCTTATGGCCCACTTCCAGGGAATTATTGTTCCTTGCATTGATTCTCATTTCTTTAGTTTTTTCAAAGTTTATTTTGAGGCCGACCTTCCTTCCATTGGTGTTAAGCTCCTCAAGACTTTCTTTCATATCTTTTAGTGCATGAGATATCAAGCACAAATCATCGTCAAAATCAATATCCTCTAACCTGTCTGTTAGACCCCACTGCAAGCCTCTCTGCCTACTCGTTGTTTTCCTCATTACTTTGTCTAGAACCATGAGGAAAATTATTGGTGACAGTAAGCAGCCTTGTTTAACTCCTGTTCCAATTTCAAATGGCTCCGATGATAGTTTTCCTTTATGGATTACTTGGCATCTGTAGTTCTCGTAGAATTCTCTGATGAGGTTGATGATTTTTGTCGGCACTCCGAACTCATGCAGTGCTTTCCAAATAGAATCCCTGTTAATAGAGTCGAAGGCCTTTTCAAAATCCACGAAGGCCAAATAGACCGATGACTGGTATTCTGAGCATTGCTCAACACTGATTCTTAGGGTGTTGATCATGTTGATACAGGAATGGTCCTTCCTGAAGCCTACTTGTTCTCTACTAAGTTTTGTGTCTATTACATTCTATTTAATATGATTCTAGTAAAGACTGTACTAGCAACAGTCTTAACAAAGCAGGGTAATGCCTCTCCAGTTAGAACATTGTGAGGTATCTCCTTTGGGATTTTGATTAGCATTCCTTTTTCCAGTCATCCGCTATTGTTTCCTTCTCCCATATTTCTTTAAATAATTCCAGGAGTATTTCTGCTGTCAGGTTAGCATTCAATTTAAGCATGCTGTCTCCACCGGGTGCTTTGCCATTCTTCAAGTCTTTGAGTGCTGCTAATATTTCTACTCCTGTGGGTGTAGCTGTGTTTATTCTAGGGTCTTCCGCATGCATTAATAATGCTTTAACTAAATAAGCAAACAGTTGGTTTTTGGCCCTAGGGATGTAAAAACCTGCTCGGTCCCCAATTGACGATGACAGATTACATGACAGCAATACGTAGCTTTCGGCCTCCAATAAACGCCTAAAAACATTGTAGTGTGGTGAAAATATTTTTGTTGCATACAACATCAATTTTTTGTTGATCCCAGTCTTTATATTTTAAAATTCTCTGGTTAACTCAATGTAAAAACTGTCATGTCAATGACTACTTCCTTAGTTATGAATGTACTTCATCAGATAAACTCATTCATTTGTGTTCTTTTATTTCAGAATCCCCACAACAGCTCAGAAATTGATGACCAAGAAAGTCAAACAAGTGAAGGAGAAAATGGACAAAGTAAGAGAAGGGCGAAGTATAATAAAGTCCTTAATTCACAATCCAGACATAACCAAAGAAGAATTGACAGAAATGCATGCTAACCTGTTAGAGAAAAATTCTGGAAATTCGGAACCAGATGTTGAAGATTGCAACATTTTGTGGCTACAGGATCCAAACGAATTTATGCTGGACGATTTGCCTTTAAGTTATAGCTGTGATACTGAGATTCAAGAAACAAATGTTTGTTCTAATGTTCTCGTAGAAGGTCAAGTATTGCATCATCTGAAGGTCAAAAGGAACTGTCAAAAGGAAAGAAATGTTTCAGGCATGGTTGATTGTACCGCTTCAGAGCTAATTCCTGTAAATACTGTTACAAGCGAGGACACTGTGCGTTTTAAAACCTGTGATACTTCAAGAAAATACAATTCAGAAAACAGTGCTACAACATTTGATGTTTCAATTTCTTCTGAATCCAGCCAGCTACAGTCACAAAGTTCTTTGCAATCAATAATAATAAGTAAACATGCAGAAGATTCAGGTAGAAAATCAAAAGAATGTACAAATGAAGAGCTTACCACTGAACGTTGTGCAAAATCTTTTGATTCCGAAGTCACTGAAGAAACGGTGAAAATACAAAATTTAGTGAAAAATAATAACACATGTAATAAAATCAAAGTCTGTGATAAAACTAGGAACATTCCATCGAATGAAAGTGGCTCCGGAAACTCTGGACAAAGGTGCCATTCTAATAATTCTGGATCATCTAAATCAAAGCTCAAGTACAAATCCATTCTTCAGTTCAGGCATCTGGGTTCCAGGTAATTTTCACTTTTTATTTAAATTTTGTTCCATCTTAAATAGGGGTTTTCATTATTTAAGTTCTTTAGAAAATTTAAATGGACACTAGAGTTAACCGGCTAAAGTGGTTCAGTTTTTTTTATATTTATTTTTATTTTTTTAGATCAAATGTTTATCTAGTTCCTTATGAAAGATTAAAAAAAATATATTTACTCTAAGTGTTTTTTTAAAATTTTCAAAAATTTACTATTTTTTCATAGAAAATTAGTAATTAAATATTTTTATAAAAACTTGTGGAGATGAAAAAATCTAAATCCTTATGGAAGGAACTAGTATGCTATGTACTAAATATGTGTTAACAATTTGGATACTCTAAGTCTAAAGATGGGTGAGAAAAGTATTATCAAAGTTATGAAAAACTAACGTTCGTAGCGAATGATGATTAAAAGTAGAAGTCGTGCTAACTCACTGGCACTCAAATACTTCATTGTTGAAGCAGACTTAGGAGCGCTAGTGTTGTCGTGTGCTTGCTTATAACTACAAACAAAGCCAGTCGGCCGATGTTGGCATGGTAGCTCAGTAGGCTAAGGCATTGCACTGACTAGTGTAGCGCAGAGGTCTTTCTACATGCGCGGGATCGATTACTGTACGTGTGCAATCCTGACTTTAAGCTCAATAATGTGTAGCTCAGCAGGCGGGAGAAGCCCACCTTAAAAAAACGTCCAGCTTAAGTGGAAGTTGACGGCATTATTGAGTTTAATAGAGACTAGGTGAAACCCGTCGAAATCAACAGTTACTTTCAAGGCTTACGCTAATTCATATAACTGTGATAAATTGAATGAAATTATACATATTTTGAGCATTTAGCATTGTTTAAAGAGTAATAAATGTATAAACAATAATGATATTAATTGCGTTAGCTACCAAATATGGTTGATCATTCAATGAATAAAATATTTCTCATACTGTACGTCATCGGAGTTATTATTAGTATAGTATGTTATGTGGTATCTCTATGGTTATGTGGTATCTCATCCTTTGGAAACCCCGTTAAATAGTATTAATATTGTATTGGTGGATCTTTTGTAGTTAAACACTTTCACTTTCATCAGTGTAATGCACAGGGTGTCTAGTAGTCGGGAAAGTCGGGAATTAGTATTGAATTTCAAAATGGTCTTGAAAAGTCGGGATTTAGTCTTAAATTTGATTTCAAAGTCGAGAATTTTCATGATTTTGCCGCGATCAACGTCTTGCGTTTACGTAACCGCGAAACCAATGATGATGATGTCTACACGGCCTCGGGAAATGTTCACGATTTTGCAGCGATAGTGGACGACGACGATGACGTTTCCGAAACCACGAGAGACGATGATGACGTTTCTGTGACAGCGGGGGACGATGACGTTACCGTGACCGCGGGAGACGACGATAACGTTTCCGTGACCACGAGAGACGACGATGACATTTCTGTGACAGCAGGAGATGACAATGACGTTTCCGTGGCCGCGGGAGATGACGTTGATGTTTACACGGGCGAGGGAAATGTTCTCATGATTTTTCCACGATCGTGGAGGACGACGATGACGTTTCCATGACCGTGGGAGTCAATGATGATGTCTACACGGCCGCAAGAAATTTTCATGATTTTGCAGCGATCACGGACGACGACGATATCTGCTCGACCGCGGGAAATGTTCATGATTTTGTCGCGATCGCGGATGACGACAATGACGTTTCCGTGACCGCGGGAGATGACGATGACGTTTCCGTGACCGCAGGAGATGACGTTTCCGTGACCGCGGGAGACGACGAAGATGTCTACACGGCCGCGGCAAATGTTCATGATTTTGCCGCGATCATGGACGATCACGTTTCTGTAACCGCTGCAGTCAATGATGATGTCTAAATGTATGGTACGCGGAAGATTTCATGATAAAAAAACCAAATTTGCTAGTTGGAATTTTTTATTGCTGCATTATTTCTTCACTTGAAAACACAACATTATCATAATACTACTTTATGACAAAGACAGGGGTTGGTGTAGTATTATTTAGAAAATTTGGTTAAGCTATAAAAATTGGAATCGGTATCAAGAATTGAGAATCGATACATTTTGGTATCAACACCCACTAATTGTTGAAAAAACTAGTCTTGAAAAATCTGGAATTAGTCTTGAAAAGTCTGGAATTAGTCTTGAATTTTGTAATGGAAATAAACTAGACACCCTGAATGCAAATTAATCTAGGCCTATGATTTTATTTGAAAAAAATATCTGTTGGGAAGGACACATTCTAACTTCAAAAGGAGGTGGTATATCCATTATAGTGTAAGTTTCTTTATAACCTTATTGTCATGACAGTAGCTGCTAAAATAGTACTCATTGGACCATTTTTACAGCCAAAATGTTGTGTTATTTTTAATAATGTTACCAACCCAGTGGGCCACGGTCCGTAATATAGGCCACCGCAAATAATTTGTCAAGATAGGTACTGTTTTAGGCAAGGTTTCTATGTTTGGATGTTATTAGACACGGTAAGAGCACAATAACATTCTTCTGCAGATGAATTATCCGTTGGAGAAATATAAGCCGAATAAGATTGGGTAAGTTGCATGGATTTTTTTTAGGCTGCTGCTCAGTGCTCTTTAAGAATATCTATTTTAGAGATAAATTAAATGGTTTTTGTTGCTGAGTAGCGCTAGTAAACATGCACAACCCTTTTCATAAGTCTAATAACATTCAAAGGCTCTTTAAAATTCTGCAGTAGATTGCAGTTTTCCAGCTTAATGACTTTCAAAATCAGGTGCATATTTCTACAATTCAGTAACTCCCAATAAATGTGTGTAGTTTAAAATACAATTTAAATATTAACAGCTCTTTCATTAAAAAGTAGTGTGAAATTAATCATATGATGATAATGTAAACAAGTCTGGGAAGGGAACTTTAAAGGCTTACGGGACAGATCCCTAAGGGAATTTACTTAGTTTTTCTTTTGATTTCTCATCTGCAGACCGAGGCCTTTCTTTAGACACCTCTACAGAGTTCCTACGCCCAGCCGTCCTCTTAAATTAGTGGAGACAAAGTTTCCATAAGTATTTAGATTCCCCAATGTTAATCTTATGGGAGAAAACCCAACTTTGATGGAAGATCCAGCCTGAACTAATAAATATTAAAAAAAAAATACACACTTTGCAAAACTGCAGATCAGGGCCATTATTTTGACACTTTAATCATCAAAATCGGTCCAAAAATGAGGGAGGAGTTCTGTTCACAAAAATCGGCTTAGCGTATTATACAGTACACTCCCTCTTATCCGGACTCCTCGGGACCGAGGCCAGTCCAGATAACGGGTTTTCCGGTTAAACCGACGTCCCCAAAAACTCTTTAAAACGGACCGTTTACTGTGATATTCGACTTAAATTTAAGCATTGTATTTGGACACGAGATCACTGGTCTCGAATCTTTCCCGCGAGAACTGAGGTTTCAGTATCGCCCACTTACTGCCGATCTAGTCCGGTTAAACCAATATGCTGATAAAAATTGTCTGGTTAAAGAGATGTCATTTCCGCCGAGTGTAGTCCGGTTAAAAGGTATCCGGATAAGGGGGATTCTACTGTATACAGTAGAACCTCTTTAATCCGAACCCCAGTAATCCGTACATCCACTAATCCGAACACCTCATTGCTGCACTCTATACACAATACAGTAGTTTTATATTGTATACTGTATTTAATGTACAGTACTGTTTATTCACTGTTTACTACTGTATTAAATAAATACTGTATTTTACTTTTCAGCAGCATTTTTTAACTTTTCCCGTAGCAATTACGATCCATTTTCGCCACATTTTAGCTATTGTTATGTAAAGACGTTGTTGCATTTGGACTGTCATTGAAGAGACGAATATGTATGGAATAGAATTGCATGTCAGTGTCAGATGAAAACGTTCCTTACTTTCTGAACCCTAATTAATAATAACTGTACATAACCCTGCAAGTGCCCAATGGAAGGTAAATAGTATGCCTTTGGTTACAGTGCCGACAAGGGTGCCAATGACAAAACCATTCTGTGTCCTTACGATTTGACAGGGAGATGCCAAGATAAAGCTTGCAAGTATCAACATCTCCATTGACCCCTGTAAATATACTTTAGAGTTAAGACTTTTACAGTTATTTATTTTTCATTATTAACATCTAAAGTCATATGATTTGTTATTGTAAACCATTATACTCTCCATTCTTTATATGTATAGTTTATATTGCAAGTAATGTCATGTTCAAGTTCCTTTGGTTTAGTTTGTTATTTGTTGAAATTAAGTTTGCATTTACCAAGTTGGTGGAAACTTGAGTTGATAATGTTAAGAATTCATTTGGTACCGGTAAGTAATTTGTCGGTTGCGGAGTGACACTAACTAAGTGCTTATCATGAATTGCATCAACTTGACCATTTGCTTGATGAGTTTGAAGCCTCTGTTTCAGAAGCAGTGGGCATGACTGCTGTGGTTCCGCATGAATAAGGTTGGTCAAAGGTCAGGTACTTAAATAATCCTTATTTATCCTTTAAAGATTTACTCATAGGATGTTTTACTTTTGTGTTTGGTGCCAGTTGTTACGTGCTTAACGTAAGATGTCTAGATTGGCGTAATGTAATCTTTTACTTTTATCTTTCCATTCATAACACTCTAAGGTGTTTGTAATTTTTCTGTCTAAGTTTGTTAATACTTGGGAGAGCCAGAAACATGCTGCCATCCTGACAGGGCACCTAAGAAGCTAATACTTAGCACTCTCAGTGCGGTCGACATTTATTTCAATGTTGTTCAATGTTCATTAGTACTCGACGTGTTAGGCTGTTGATTACAATAACTTTTATAAAACGGCACATTTTCAGTTATTTCTTGTTACATTTATTTCGTGGCCCATTCTACACGAGTATGAATCCCGCAACAGGAGATTCGCATGGCCTTGCCAATATAGACTGTGTATGTAGACTGTAGACTGTGTATGTAATGTAGACTGTGTGAAACCCATGTGAGGCCATTCTAGACGAGGTGGCTCAGATCCAGTGGAGATAAGTTGAATAGCTTGGGTTGTCTAACTCCAACTATTTCAACTGCTGAGGAAGAAACGTAAGAAGAGCCGATGATGGACACATCAAACATTATCAAACAGATGCGCCAGAGGGACATTCCATGTCATGTTTAATGACCATCGGAGGTACCCGTAATAGTTTTTCCAGTTTTACAGAAGGTCTGTTGAGACATTCGATGAACTATTAGGCGGGTTACACACCGGTATCGCCGACATAATGTCGCAGATATTCCAGGAAGAGGCACGTGCTGGCGACATGAAAGTGAAGGAATCAAAAAATTCATCAGTTTAAATAATGTCATCGTCAGAAGAAAATGATGTGTTGTTGCTGTTGTTCTTTCTACAAAAACATTAATGATAATTTCATGGTAATTTTTCCAAAATACTTTGTAATTAATTGTATTACAGTACTTACGTAATTTCCTTATGGTGTCAATTGGAGTATTATAATATCACAATACTACAGTTCACACCATAAGGCAATTAAGTAAGTTAAAAAGCGCCAAAACTACTAGAAACGTGTTCTGCGCATGCGCGGTCCCAAGAGACAAGAGACATGTCTGTCCAAACACTGACCGGTTGGTTCACTCGAGACACGCACCTGCAACACGAGTCGCAGGCAACGTGTCTGTGACACTGGTGTGTATAGCTCCATAAGTTAACATAGGTTGGTTTTCAAGGGGCATGTCGCAGGCACGAAAAATATCTGCGACATCATGTCGGAGATACCGGTGTGTAACCCGTCTTACTATTGCTGTGTCACATTGAGAAGAGAGATGCTGTCATGATTTTTGTTTTGGATTGCTCTGGTGACTCCCATTCTTGGTATAGTACATAGCTTTGTCAATTTAATTCCAATTTTTGGCCTTTATCTCACGATTAGAAAAATCCTTGGTACAACATACTGTTCAGACCGAACCTCACAAAGAAAGTACTCTGGGTCATACCACAATGTGTTAACCCAATTAATGCTACTGGACGGTAGATTTGAAGTGAGCTGCCGTGCGCGGTGATAACGCTACGTGTAGAATGGCACACGCCAATTTAACGCAATGGTTCGGAAATCCCGTGGTAGGTTTCACACTCATGCAGAATGGGCCTTGGTTTTCCGGTAAATAAAAAAATTTGAAAAACGACTAATAATCGTAATATAATAAGAAAATATTAAATATAAATTGTTTTAATAGTTTTTGTATAATAATTCTGTAAACAATGAAGGAAAATTAGTTTCTGAGCTTTTATTCTACTCAATTATTACAAATTATCAAAGTATTATAAACATTTAAAATGAACTTTGAATCAAGTAATTATGTTGTAAACTAGCTAGCTTTAAAGTTTGCCTCCTGAAGTTATTATTTAGTTGCATTACAATTTACCTTCTATTTCTAACTTCAACTCCTCTTTTCCCTAACGGAAAAAAAACTATTTTTCCTACAGTCACCCGACAAAGTTGGCTTCCTTGTACTGTTTATAGTACAGAAAGCTGCTAATTGCTGCATATTTATACTTTGCCGTAAGGTTTATACTTTGTCGTACGGTTTATACTTTGCCGCACATCAGGATGCCAACGAAACAACTCAAAACGTGGTTCTATTATGCACGTAATCCGTGTACGCTTGGAAATAGGTTGGCAACACTTAAAGATAATATTGTAATACTATGAGCAGCTGATTGACTATTATAACTACGATTTAACCTGTCATTTTGTGTTTATAGTTTCGGTATTTCTGAACTTTCTGGACTTTTCTTTTAAACGTTTTTAAAACATTCCTACGATCTTAATAAACAAGAAAATACCTTTAAAGCATTTTTTTTAGGCGCGGAAACCACTTTAAATTACAAAAACATACGGAACTATATTCTCAAAACGCGGAGCACATTTCTTGCCGAGGAAAAATAGCGGAGTGATACGGACCGGGTACTACTTTCTCTAGGGCACCTATTTGTGTTGCCAGCTGAACCTAAAAACGTGTTGTATAGTGTTTGAAAGACTAATTATTTATATGCTTTATAGTGACTGTAGGAAACATATAATGTGTAACACGAGTGCAAAAGGCCTTTGCTGCACTCGAGATCATTCCGCACTCGCCTATTGCTCTCTTGTGACCTACCTACAATTTTATTTGTTGCATTAGATTTGCATATATTTGTTAGTTAGTTCTTGGTTTGGCATTTAATTTCTTAACCAACTAATAAGCTGATGAGAGTTTATACAGTATTATATACATTCATTGCTTAACATTTGTTTCAGCTCGGTAGATTATTCCAAAGCATGGACTTTAGTATCACATGGTAAGTTGGCTCTACACAGTATCCAATTGTCTTGGCACTGTTCATTATTGTTACACGTAACACAATGGTTTTTATTCCACCCTAAGACATCATACATTGCCACTACTTGCACACACTTGTGTTTCATACACAATACTTGTATCTTATATTTCTGGCATGTCTATTTTGTTCTCAGCATAATGAAGTTTCTTAAAAAATATATAAATATGATTCAATTTTTGCTTATTGGATTAAATTTTGCAAATCTTTAACAAATCATTGGGAAAAAATTAATGTGTAAGTTATCTTTTACTTTTGTCTTACAATTAGAACTAAGCTAGCTTGGTCTTGAGTTTTGATTGTACATCCTGTTGGTGGAGTGCTACCTTTAGATCTGTTGAATATTTGTTTAATTGCTTATACTTATCTGCTTGGTTTATGGCGCCCTACATTTTCTCTTTGGTGGTTGAATTTATTTAATTTCTACCATTGAAAGTTCTTACTTGTCTCTTTGGTTTTTATAGTATGAAACATAGGACTAATAAATTAAACTGATTCATTAGCTTTTTAAATATTTTAATTATTACACTGAAAGAGTGAAAGGTAAATTTGTACTGTTTTGGAGGTCTCTTTGCTTATCACTTTTTCAATCCAATAATAAAGCGTTAATGTAAATTTAACCATTCACAGTTCTAGAGTTGTAGATATGATGGTGGGGATGTAAAAAGCGTAAGAGTAATATTTTCTTAAAACTAGGACGGATATAATTTTGTTTTCTTTATCTTATACAGTGCCAAGGTTAAGGAGGAGATGCATTATTTATGATCAAATGTAGGCAGAATACAAAATATGCAATACTAATAGAATACTAATAGGCTATGTCACCCAAGCCAACTCAAAAAGCGATGTCTTTGTTGCAAGTTGTTTTTATTTCCTAGAGATATATAATTACTATTATTATACGCTCCAACTCAAGATAGTTACATAAATCTTACTAATTTTAAAATTGGTCCTGTTGTGTTTTTATTTTGTAATCATACGAGTCAAGTACAAAACGATTTAACGATGCTTTTGTTTTAGGTAATACCAACCCGTATTTCATTGTTATCTTCCTTTTGTTAAGTAAATTTCCTAAACTGTTAAAACATATAATTTTAAGTATATTTATACCTGTCCTTTATTTAAAGGTAAACAAGGCCTAACTAATATGAGTTAAAAAATAATCATTGTAAATTTATTAATCTCAACTTCAGGTTGCAAGGAGTGTTTTTAATGGTTTCCTTGTTCTTTTGTTGTCGGAAGTTTTGCAAGGTTGATGTCCATTATTAAATGTGATCAGTCTAGTCTAGTTTGGACGTAATAATAATAACATTAGGATCCAATTTTCAGGGTGGCAGGATTTTGGCAGAACAGTTAAGCTACAACACTTTCCACCCTAATAGTTTGAAAATTGGGGTTGGTCTGGGGTCTGGGTCAGTAGATAGTTTCTAGTACAGTTTGGGCTGTAAATTGTATTATTAGAGAAATTATGTGCTAACGTTATCAATACTCCTGATTTAATAAGTATTTGAGGTTAATAGTGGCTTCGACCATTGCCCAGTGATGTTTAACTCACACCCTGCCTCCCTGAAACTTGCATTTCACTAGGAAAAGGTGAGTTCAGTTGCATGCCAAACCCAAGACCAAGCTAGTTTAGTCATCATGCCAATCCTTATCCCACAAACATGTTTATTTCACATTCAGCCATAGCAAGAAAGTTCGGAAGAAGAAAATGTTTGGTGTTCTTTGCAATTAGACGGAAGAATGACTTTAGACTAAAAAAGATATTAGTCGGTGCTCACTCCAACTCTAGTGTTCAAGATTTTCGGTTCAAGTTTGCTATTCAAGAAGTGAAGAACAATTGTGCAAGATGTCGGCTTGAACAAGAAATTTTCTGTGTGAATTAAAAGTGAGAATCAAGTGTGGAACTCATATAATTTTGTTACCTTGTACTCATAAAAGTACATTAAATATTTAAGTGAACTGCCTAAATACTTCAGGCATATATGTAATAAAAAGCTGTCTAATTTTATACCAATAAAATTATTTGTTTTGTATTCTTTGTCTTGGCATTCATAGTTCCTTGAATTTTTTAGTGGATCTAGTAGAATCTTTTGGAAAAATACTTGTGTGAAAGAAGTAGTAAATCTCATGATTGGTCTAACTACTCAAATATTATGTCAGTGTAAAATAATTAATTGTAAAATCTGTGTCAAACAAAGTTTGGCTATGAGATAAAATTTATATACCTTCAGATGGATAGAAAAAAATATGTATGATTTAGTTGTTTCTGTCTTTTAATATTCATGGTTGATTGTGATAAAATGGGATTGGAGGTTTGTTTAAACTTTGTTCAAAATTATCAATTTATGAAGTCTTCAGCACAAATAAAATCTTTTTCATCACTCTGTATTCAAAAATTTCCCGTTTGCATACAGCTGAGATCTCCTTTTTCCACTAGACGCTAGTTCAATTTCCATACACTAAAAACAAATTGTGAACAACTGACTATTCCTGAAATAAACATTACTTTCGCTACACAAACAATACCTTAACATAAACAAAATTACAATCAGCAGAATTTTTCACTAAAAATTGTACAGCCGTATATTGTGTTTAGACATGTTTAGATTAGAAAAATGAATAGATAACAAAATATCAGATAATATAGCAAAAGATTACACATTATAGCCTTCTATTACCATACTGAGGTGTTAAAAACAAAACTGACTGGCTACAGTTGAATTTGTGAGATATCTGTATGGCAAAAAATTACAATATGTATTGCCATACAACCAAAAACAATGGTGATACATGAAAATAAGCAATTTTTCATGGCATCTAATCTCACAAAGGAAGGAGACCCTTCTTTCTTATTAATTGAATTATTACTGAAATAAAATTATACCAGACATATGAACTACCGAGCTGCACTGACTAATAATAAAAATGACTTCAATATTCATGCTTGAAAAAAAAAATTACTATTTTTTAAGCCTTTTTCAAACAAATCTTTAACTTAAAACCACCTCAACTAAAATTTATACTTACAGGATTTAATCACTGCAATATCGTTCAGATCTAGTGTAGGACATGGAGATAGCCCAACTCTGCGCGGTGGTCAAATTTAAGCCGAGGAAAAGTTTTATGGCCCCCGAAGGGTGCAGTCCAACTCCGCACGGTGATCACTTTTAGTGAGTAGTCTATAACTCCTGCGCGGTGGCCACATCTAATCCCTACACTACCTTGTTGTGCTTTCGTATGAGATGTGTGTTTAATACTATATAAGGTTAGGTTAATGATAGGTAAATTCAAATTAAACTGGTATTCTATTTTATACTAATTAACTTTATGTTATTAGTTATACTGTGGTTCGTACAGTTCTAAATCATGTACATTAATAACAATTTCAAACTTCAAATACAGACGCACAGCCATCAGGGCTGTGAGAGCTTAAATCGACCACCGCGCGGAGGGACCAGAAGTGATCACCGCGCGGAGTTGGGATGAGCCCTAGGACATATCTAGTACACACCATTTTTCTAAGCATATGCCGACTGAGGTAACGATGCACCATTCATTGTTCTAAATATAACTTGGTTAAGAATTGAGAAAGTACTTGAAAAAGTAATACCTCTGCTTTTTATTGATTGTTTTACTTTCAAATAATCCAAATTTGGACTGTTGGTCAAGTCAATGCCCATTACCATTGACAGTGAATGAAATAAAAGTAAGTACAGTAGTCGAGTCATGATGCTGACTCTTTACTTCTTCCTGGTTTCCTAATACAAAAAATGAACCAGGTTTTGCATAAGAAGAGTCTCACTCAGGGTGGCTGGAGTTGGTGCACCCAACGATATACAACACCATGTGCGATATACAATACCATGTGCGCCTTGCTGGATTAATCAAACTCAAACATGGCGACTCCTATTTCATCCTGGCTTTCTAATACAACATGGCTTATTATTGTTAAAGTGCCAAGGTAGCAGATTTTGGGTACAACCTTACTAATTGAGTCAGCCATGACGACTCCTACTCACAGAATTAAGACCGAGCTTAGAACCCTTACAGAGAAAGAAAACTGTTGGCCAGATGTGGTGGAGACTTATTTGATCTTGATAGGTTTTTTTTTTATTTTACCTGTGAAGATTCAAACCAATTAAAGGTCCGGTCCACTCCACCACCTTCATGGTAGAGAGAACTGGTGACGTCCTTTGCTCTCATAGCTAATGAGTGTACAGGTTAAACCTCTTAAAACCGAAGTAGTTCTAGATTCTGGTGCACAAACTAGAAGATTGACGGGTGGCGTCGTCCTGTAATCCAGCTACTAGGAGGTCACAAATTGTGGATATTTATAGGCATGCACTGTGGTTGCGTTACTTCCTGGTGTGGATTAACGTCCGCACGAATGAGTACTACGACTACTCGCAGTGCAATCCTGATATTTAGACCAATTCGTATATACCAAGGCAAAAAAATGTGGTTCGGATTCCACTATAAACAGTAGGTCCCTTAGTTGCCATTAGCTGTATGGGCTATTAATTAACAGCTGTGTCTAAGGAATGTCGGCCTTAGTCACTTACAAGACTACAAGATCGCGTCACTCATCCTACACTCATCTCCATTCATTCATACCTAAAATATCATTCATATATTAAAATACCTACTATGTATGGTCGCCATTTCATAAAAAGTATTAAAAGTATGGAAACCCAATGTTTACACCTAACAGAACAGTTAATTCCTTACTTGTTGTCACTGTTCATTAATGTTACAGGTAGGTAACACAATGGTTTTACCATTGTACCATTTGTTTTGGGCCATTGTTTATTATACAAATTAGGTAATAGAAATGGCCTCCATCTTATGATATTCAGTTTTGATTAAAACAAATTCTGGTCAATGAACATAACCTTAGCAATAAGCTTTTCAACTGTTGACTTTGAATTTTATTCCCATTACTATCTACTGTGCAACACACACCCCTACCCAATGTGCACTCCTACCCAACCCGAGGAAGAGCCTGTCTCGACAATATATTTACCAACCTCGTTTCTGACCACTATGAATGTTGGCTCTACGGACAAGACCTCATCTCTGATCATGCAGGTATTTTTGTTAATGTTAAGCTGGATGATAATAAAAGCCAGGCTGGTGTAAAAACTAAATCGTTTAAGAGGAGACTGATTACTACTGCTAGGCTAGCTGATTTTAATTATTGTCTTTCAAATCTTAGCTGGTTAGTATTATATAACAACTGTGATATTGATGCTGTGATCTCTATGTTTATAAATATACTTTGTTATTATCTCAATGTTTATTGTCCAATTGTAAATAATAAATGTAGACCAAAAACCAAGCCAGGACCTAGTAACTGGTTTACACCTGAACTTGCAAACATGAGAGAATATATCATTTACCTTTATGACATATGGAAGACTAATGGTAATGTTAATGACAAAATGAACTTTAAAAATGCCAAGAAAGTTTACACAAAAGCTATGAATGAGGCAAGAATTTCTGCAAACAACAAACTAATTAATAAATCAACAAACAAATGCAAAGCGGCCTGGAAGATAGTGAGAAGTGAATCAGGGCAGAGCAAAGTACCGACTGAAATATGTCTTTCGCCTGACACCTTTAATGATTTTTTTGTTAATGTACCAACAAGTATGACTCACAATCAGAACTCAAATTTACCAGACTATTATAAACTACTTAGTAATTTAAAGTTTACCACCAACTCAAATAAATTCTCATTAAAAAAAGTTGATATGAAAACTGTGAAGTCAATAGTAACTAGCCTAAGCTCCTCTCGCAGCGAAGATTGTTTTGGACTGTCGAACTACCTATTGAAGAATATTATAGACCCTATTCTAGTACATCTCACCTACATTGTCAACCTAGTATTAGTTACAGGTGTTTTCCCAAATTGTTTGAAGCAATCAATAATTAGCCCTATTTTTAAGAAAGGTAGCAGAGATTTACCAGAGAACTACAGACCAATTGCTATTGTCCCCATTATAAGTAAGATAATCGAAACTTGTTTATTTAGGCAAATGTATGATTATTTTACAAGTAACAATTTGCTTAGTACTAACCAATTTGGTTTCATGCCTAATTCTTCAACTACCAAGGCTGTAGAGAGCATTGTAGATTATATCCTCAATGGTTTTGAAAACAATTTTGCCACAGGCTGTAGTATGTTAGATCTAAGTAAAGCTTTTGATATGGTTTCACATGTTATTCTTTGCAGGAAATTGGAGTATTATGGTATTAGAGATAAGGAACTAGCTTTAATTAGAAGTTACCTTAGCAATAGATCTCAAGTAGTTAAAGTCAATAATGTTTTTTCTCAACCAAAGTCAGTATTAGCAGGTGTTCCACAAGGCTCGGTCCTTGGGCCATTCTTATTCTTAGTTTTTATCAATGATTTTGCTGTAAATGTTCCATGTTTTTCTGTTTTATATGCTGACGACACAACTATTCTTGAAAAAGGTGTAAATATCCATAATGTTTTAAAGCAGCTTAGTTCCTCAAAAGATTGCTGCAAAGTTTGGTATGGTGCAAACTACCTACTCCTGAATGAAAATAAAACTGAAAACATTCTCTTCACACTCAAAAATAGTATTAGTCATGAATATGAAGATCTTTTAAAACCTGTTAAGCTGTTAGGAATTGTGTTAGACAGCAAGTTAACCTGGAGTAGCCATATTGACCTTTTATGTAAAAAACTTGCTAGAGCTACTTGTTTAGTGAGGAAACTCAAACAGTGTGTCAGTTCTGAGGTATTATTAATGGTCTACTATGGTGTTTTCAATTCTCATTTGAACTATGGCCTGCGCTTATGGGGAAATAGCGCTGATGCAAAAAGAGTATTCATATGGCAAAAGAAAGTCATTCGTTGCATAGTAGGCTTAGAAAACAATCAAGAACATTGTACAGATAGTTTTATTAGTCTTAAAATAATGACGTTACCATGTATGTATATTTTTTGTAATCTGGTTTATGTTAAGGAAAATATAGTTAATTTTAGAGAACAATGTAATCAACA